CCCCAGGCCGCGGCACGCAGCCCTCCCCTGGCAGCCGGCGGGTGTCGGCGTTGGCACTGAATTACTAGGCGAAGCATGAGCCGTGACTTGGCAGCGAGCTGGAAATCAGGAGGGCGAGGGAGGGAGAGTGCACCAGCGCGTCGGAGCTGCTCTCCGTTCCAACGGGACAACTGGTGGCGTGCAGCATCCTGCTAGGGGAAACGAAGGGAGAAACGGCCCCGTACAGGCAGGGAAAGTAGTTTGCAGAGCAGCATCTGAGGGGGATAAAATGCCTCCAGAGCCTGCGGTGCCGCCGGCTTTGCCAGCAGACGCAGTGATTGCCACGGTGCCGCAAACGCGAGCCCCGCTCTCTGCTGAGCGCTGGGCTCCCGAGGCTGTTTCTGCTTTTATTCTGTTCTGTGATTTTTGCATTGGCCTTCGTCTCTCCCTCTTTCCATTATTTCTCCGTCTCTCACCAGTTGTCAGCTGTAGATGATGGCTGGTTGGTGTCCCAGAGGCCCGTTTAACCTCTATTGAACTGCTGAGCTGCAAGTCATTAATCCCATTTCACTCCTGTTTTATCTTTGGGTTTGGAGGTGCCCTGACCTGCGAGCGGGCGGCCGAGCCCAGGCCCTGCCTCCCTGCCCCGTCTCGCCGGGTCTTGCAAGACGGGGCCATCCTGCAAGGTTTGCTCGTGCCTTGATCTTCTTTGGGAATTAAAGATGAAAAAGGGTGCACAGAAATCGATGTTTTCTCTGGGTGCTGGGAGGACGTTGCTTTGGCACCAGTGCCAGAAGCCATGGAGCATGGGCTGCCCTCGTCTGCTGGTGATGTTGGAGGTGGGCAGGAGATAACTCCTTCTTGGAAGAGGAATAGTCTGCAGAGAAGGCCGGGAGAGCAACTGCAGTTAAAATCCTACACTAGGCTCTGTATTGTTTAGGGGAACAATTTGTGTGATTGAAGTGAGACCTTCGCTATGTTTCTAAATATATATTTTGACAATGTCTCAGGAGGCTGACAGCTTGCAGGGGTGTTTCTAAGGGAAAGACGGTCTTGCAGTTTTGCCCATGGTGGCATGTGGTTGAGCGCTGTGTCACTGAGAACGTCTGAAAATCTCACCCCAAAATTCACCCTTTGGAAGTATGCTTTGGATGCAGTTTGTTCCCCTTTGCTGCTAAGACTTTTTGTGCTCTTTACCGTCCTTCTCAGCCTTAAAGCTTAGGGGAGAAGACAGAGCTCAAAGCCTTGACACCGCAGTGGCCATGCCAGCAGCATGCGGGGACTTGGGAGCCCTGATTGCACCGGCTGTGGCTTTGGCCCCTCTCTGCCATGCACGTAGTAACCTCTCAAAGTGGGACACGAGCCCACTAATTTCAAAGAAAAATTCACAAGGAGCTGATTTATGCAGCCCCGTTCCTCTGCCCAGGATGCCCAGCTGCAGAGACCGAGCCATAGGCCGGTGTGACGAGAGGCGCGTGGGAGCCGGTGGCACTTGCTGTTGCCCCATCGGAGGGCTCCTCTAACCTGTTTTCTCCTTCTCCCCACAGGTATGCGAATACTCGTCACCCTGCTGTTAGATACTCTGCCTATGTTAGGCAACGTCCTCCTCTTGTGCTTCTTTGTCTTCTTCATCTTTGGGATTGTCGGTGTGCAGCTCTGGGCAGGGCTGCTGAGAAACAGGTGTTTCCTAGACAGGAATTTTGCAATGTAAGTACAGCCAAAAATCACCACCTTTTCTTCCTTCCTCCCTCCCCACTGCCAGAGAAACCCCCGCGCGCGGAGGTCTGAGTCCCCCTCCTACAGCAAAGCAGAGATGTTTAGCCATTTTCTTTCTGTAGCATTAAACTTTAACTCTTGCACGAGCAGCTCCGTCCTCGTGGCCTGCAGCCCTTCTTTTCCGATTGCCGTGTTCACTATCTATTTAAATCTCCAAGGAGCCGCTCTAACAGCCCCCGGGATATTCCCATACGATATTTGAACGATTGACTGCTGCCAGATTCACCCTTGCTTTTTGGCACTGACGTATCGTCAAAGATACAAAAATGCCGCAGACGCTCAGGGACGGGGTTGATACATGAACAGACAGATGGAAACCAACCACGAACTGGGGGAAGTGAGTGAGCGGGAGGCCCTTGGTGCTCTGAGCAGCAAGTCTGGAGCTGTCACCTCTCACGCGCAACAGGGGATGAGAAACCCAGCTGGTTTTAAGGTGAATCTTTCTTGAGCTGGTTGGTGGCATAGTGAGGACAGGCTGTGTTAGCTCTCTCGTCGCTGCAGCCGCCCAGCGCCCCAGCGGGGACCCGGCTGTGCTGGACTGGGGACAGTGGGAGATGGCGTAGGATCGGGCACGGCACTTGCAGGTTACTGCACATGGCTGGAAATACAGGTTTCAGAGGCTGAAGAAAAAGGAAACGGTGTGACCTAGGAGAAAAGTCGCTTGTGAGTCCTTTTTCTACCCTGTTCCCAACTGTACAGCTCTGGGAGGGCGTTGAGCACGCCGGCCTGCCCGCATGGGGTTTTAATGGGGTGGAGTTTGCGCACTGTTGCAAACAGCGCTCTCTTTCCTGCAGCGACATAGAAATGCTGTGGAAATGCAGCAGTGCATCTTTGTAAGCGTATCAAGGTAAGAGGCGTGACGTGAAAGGCGTTGAGGATGTTTGGCCATCACTCTCGGCCTGGGACCCGTGTCAGGGAGGTGCAGCGCAGTCAGTGGCTGCCCTGCCTCACGCAGCCTCAGCCTTTAGTTTTGGTTCTTTCAAGCCAGGCAATCATCCCATGCACCAGCTCCCCTGCTGGGTGCTAATAGGCCTTGATTGCCCTGATGAGCCTCACCTGGGGCCCCCACCCTTGCACGTGGCCCAGGAGCTCCATTTAAGCCCAGCCCTGTGCCTTCAGGCTGGTTTGAGCTAGAGTGTAGGTGTATGTATCTTCAATCCTGGCTCTGGCCTTTTCTCCTGGATGGATTTTGGACCTGCTTTGTAGCCTTGTCTCCGTTCCTGGCTCTGGCTCCTGGACCTGGTTTGTTGCTCCCCAGCAATCCTGTCCTGTGATGCTGGGCTGAGGCTGCTTGGCACTTGTTTGTGGGTCTCTTGTTTTCTGTGCCTCTTCAGAGGTCTGGTGTAAGAGCACACCTTAAAAGCCCATCAGCACAGCCAAGATCAAAACCAAATACAGGCTATCATCATCTCTGCAAACTACCAGGGAAAAAAGGAGCTCTGTTTGATGGAGAAAATCCTTCCAGAAAGGCTCATGTTGGAGAATAGTGAAGAGATCAGAGTCTCAGAGGTGAGGAAATGCCTGAGAGCATCTAATCAGAGTGGCTCTAACTCTGTAGCAGAAGATACAGCTTCTATTTAGATCTGTTTGCAATCACCTTCTAGCTATAACTTGTGCTGGGTCTTAAAGAAGAGTAGAGATTATCTTCAGGCTGTAGTGCAGGTCCTGTTCCTGCCTCTTGCTGATTAGTCCTGTGGCCTTTGGTGCTCTGGGCCTTTGTCTGTGCTACAGACTGTCCCTGATGGTACTTGCTCATCCCATCAGAGATGCTGAAAGGCAGAAAATGAAAGTCTGCTATTTGAGCATGCTTTCACCTCCCACCCTAGTGCTGTGACCTGGTGTGCTTTCTCCTGCACCAATGATGGGTAGTTCACTGGTTGTTGAGACCATCCATCGCTCATGGAATAATCACCATGCTGTCATGTAACAGCCCAAAGAGCAGAGTTAAAGCCATGATGGGGTGGTCATGTTGCCAGTGCATGGTGAGCAGGCACAGCATGAGGGCAGTGATTTGAGTATGCAGAGTGCAGGGCTGTAATTAGTTTTGGGGCGGGGGGGTCCCCCTCATGTCTTTGACCAGGCTGCTAAAATGCTATGTGATATCCTGCAAAATGAAGCCTTGAAAATTAACTATAGGGGAAGTATTTGCTAAGTACAGATATTAACCAGCTCTGAGAAGCCAGACTATTATGTAACGCCCATTAGGAGCATCAAAGGCATTGCAGGGTTTTCTTATCAAGGTCTTGGTCCTGGTCACTAAAGGCTAGGCCAGGCTCCCTGTATGGAGCCTCAGGAGCTATATTTGAAGAGGCAGGTGGTTTGTGAGGTCTTGTTGGGCAGGAGAGATTTTTCTTCCCTGCTTTGCAGCAGCTCTGGGGCCCCTCTGGCAGCGGGTGCTGGTGGGTGAACCTGGGAGGCTGTGGGCTGGCCTGCACCCAAGCCCTGCTGCAGCGTGTATCGTGCTGGGCACTGGCTGCAATACAGCAGTCCTTGTATTTCCTGCTCTAAGCTATCTCGAGCTGAGGTTTGGAGCTTAGTTTGAAAGTTTGGGGGAATCCAGATGAAATCATTCCCATCTTTTCTGTCCTTCCTGATTAATTTTCCCGAGTCTGTAATTCCTTGGAAAAAGGTTCACCCCTGCAAGCAAGTGGCGTAGGGAAA